TATATATATTACATTTTTTAATATAGCTATATTTATATAGTCATATAAAAAAAACCTTGTCTACTGTCTCTGTTTTAGAGTCTCTATCTTTCCTGCCCAGCGCCAAGCACGGAGCAGAGTCCACCCGCATTAATTATTTGCCCTCTTACAAAAGCTATCGCTTTGCGTAAATAAATATTACAGCCGGCCCCACCCTCCGGGCCATAAAAACCCAGCAGATATCGATATAAAACACAGCCCAGGAGACCAAATCCAGGCTGACTGAGCGATAAGGCGGCGCTTTCACCGCGCCGGAAGCGATAACTCCTCAACTCTGCCCTGGAGGCCAAGGCAACGGCGCCTCCGCACGCGGTAACCGCGCCCGGATTTTACGGAAAGCGGCAGAAATCAACCCATTGAGCAGAAAAAAAAACCCCCGCGAGCACGCGGCCCGGCCACGGCGGGGGGTCATTTCTCAGGGCGTTTTCTTGCCACGGCCAACTTCGCTCTCGGTCGCAACGAGCGGTTAACGAACGCCAACTCTCCTCCGGCCTACGCGTGGTTAATAAATACGTTTTTTTTTTTTCGGTAATTCTAGTTATACGCGGTTGTTTGCTGGCTTTTTAGAGATATTTCGCCCGAATGAGGAAAGCAAAGCTATCAGCTAAACGAGCTTACGTGGAATCGCAATTATTTGGAATTTCCCCAGCGAGCCTTTAGCCTGAAATCCGCTTAACGGTAAAAAAAGGGAGCGGCAAATCGCCTCTATTATTCATGACTATTGAAATAAATCCAATAATTCTGCAAAATCGACTCTTCAGGAAGGAAAAGAGGATTTTCAGCTCATTCCCTTCGGGGCCCTGCTCCGTTCTGCACCGAACCTTATTAAAAAAAAACCCAATTCTGTCTTCGGGGTGATGCAAAACGTGGGACTTAAATGAAGACATAAATAAAGACTTAAATAAATAAATAGAATTTGCGGCACAACGGCGGCGAGATTTCCCGCAATACGTGATGGCCACGTCGCTTCTCCGCTTTTTTAATATTTAACATTAATATTAAATTGTAACTTTAATCCTAATATTAAATTACAAGTTAATATTTAACGTTAGTCACTTGGCGTGACACAGATGGGTCCAAGGTATTAATTAAAGATTAAAACGATCTGCAAGGCTGCTCCGATGCCACGCGCCGTCTCCTGTGGAAAAGAGGACTTTGCCATCCGTTTGACCTTTAATTACAGTTTTAGCAGCCAAATCGTATTAAACGTTCTTTCATGACATTACGAGAGTGGGTTTTGCTGGAAAACTGAAATAATTCACCTCGTTTTCGCAATTCTGCGCTCCATTATCGAGACGGCGCCAACGTAAGAGGGCGCCGGAGACTCCATTTGCTTCGGAAAATATCGCGATATCGCAGCCTAAAAATCTCACGCATCGCAACGGGCTAATTCTTATTTTAAGACGCCTTTAGGAACGTTAATATCTGACGGCACGCCGAAAAAAAGGCGGCTTCAGCAAAGCGGATGTTTTTTCAAATTGCTCGGTGTCGGCCCAATTTTGATCCCAACTTAAATTTAAATCAACGGGATGGACTTTGGCACTGCTCCGAGTGCTCCCACAAGGAGAAAAATCCAACTTGGTAATGGGCTGAAATTGGTTAAATTGGTTACTATCGGTGGCTGCACGTCACCAAAAAATAGTCAGGCGTTTGCTGGTTGAAAAATGGTTAAAAAGGTAATTTATTTTGTTATTAAACGGGAGTAATTTATCCCATTTAGGCTGTAATTTAGCGTAATTTATAGCGTTAGGCTATAATTTAGCGTAATTTATAGCGTTAGGTTATAATTTAGCGTAATTTATAGCGTTAGGCTATAAAACTTATTTTTTTTTCCCTCTTTTTCTCATGTTTTCAGACCTTGGTGGCGACTTGGTCCGGGATGCAGTCGATCCGCTCGGCCGTTTGCACGTTCGGGCAGTTTGGGGAAAATTCTGTGAGGCAGAGAAACGAAGGGGTTAATCTCAAGAATTGAAATTAAAATTATTATTATTATTATTACTAGGATTAGTATTGCTATTGCTCCTGCTCTTACTACTATTATTGTTGGTATTAAATTCCCTTTTAACGATTTTCCCGGCTCATTTCTCATCGTTTCAAAAGTCTCCAGCCAGGAACATCGCTTCCAACGAGCCTCAACTCCTGCTGACGCGCCCGTTTTACAAAATTCTGCACAACCGCTCCAAATAAAGACAGAAAAACTTCATTTTTCCTGGGGTTAAACGCAGGGGTGTCTCTAAAACAAGTGATTTCCGATGTACCGAAACAGTAAAAATATTACAGGTGGTTACGGTTATCGGTTTTTCTCCGTTCAACAGGGCTTTGCCTCCCTCCGTCTTTTTTTTTACATGATGTTTTAAGTGAAAAAATATCAAAATCCTCCTCCTTTGATAATTACAAAATGAAACAAAAGAAATTGAGGTGTAGGGGGATAAAATTTGCCTTTAATTATGCGGCACCCCATTTATTTCCGCAATTCGACGTCAGCCCCGTTATTGGCACGCGACTCCAGTTCGCCGTCGGTTAACAATAAAAACAGAGTAACGTCAAGAGCCGTAATAAATTCTGCAAAAGGCAGATGACAAATGCTTATTCTCATTTTTTTGGGGTGGGGAGGAGGTGATTTTCCATATTCTTGAAGAGTCCGATCCCAACTGGCATTAAAATAATCCCCAACAGATCCTGAGGGCAGCATCCAATTTCTGCAGATTCTAAAATAATTGTTTTCATTTTTAACTCTATTTATTATATTTATATTGAAATTTTATATATTTAGAAGTTATAAATTATCTCTTATAGATGTATTTTATATAATTTACTATATATTTATATATTATATGCAAATATATTTTAATATATGACCTTTATATGTGTGTGTACATATATATATATATTAAAAAAAAAAAAAATTATCAAACAGATCCAAAATGTTCAAGATGAGGCTTTTTTTTCAGATTCAGTGGCAGAAATCGGCACTTACCGCTGCTTTTGGATACGGTTTCCCTCGTTGCTAAAATCCCGATGAGGACACAGGCCACGGCCACCACCAAACAGAAGAGGACGATGAATATAATTTCCAATTTGCTGAATTTCTTCTTTTCCATCTACGCCCGGAAGAACATTGTTGTATAAGGAAATCAAAAATAATAATTTTGATAAACTATATAGAGCGTGGCCCGCAGGACCGGGGCAGGGATCGTCCCCCTTGTGCTCGGCACCGGTGAGGCCGCCCCTCGAATCCCATGTTCAGCGTTGGGCCCCTCATGACAAGAAGAACATGGAGGGGCTGGAGCGTGGCCAGAGCAGGGCAGCGAGGCTGCGGAAGGGACTGGAGAGCGAGGAGAAGGTTCCGGAGAACTTGTGAGGGAGTTGGGGTTCAGCCTGGAGAAGAGGAGGCTGAGGGGAGCCCTCATCGCTCTCCGCAACTGCCTGAAAGGAGGCTGGAGCAAGATGGCGGTCGGGCTCTTCTCCCCACGAACAAGCGATGGGAGGAGAGAAAATGGCCGCAGTGGGGCCTTGGGAGCCATGGGGCCGGGGGGCGTGGGGCCGGGGTTCGGGGTGGCCCCGGCGGCGCTGGGCCAACGCTTGGCCTCGCTGGCCTCCACGCCCTTCTCCAACCTAAACGATTCTGTGATTCTGCTTCAGCCTTAAAGCGTACCCCCTCACGCATACGTTCCTACAAGGGCCAAGTACAATAATTCTCATATTCCGAAGAACCCAAGTGACGTCGATGACGTCATTGTTCACCACCGAGGGATTTTTTTCCTCCCTGCAAACTCCTTCCAGATACGCACAAAACAGAATTCCCGTCCAACAACAATAATGCCGGAGATTTTTTTTTTTTTTTCCCCATTTTACTGAAACTCCAGCACTAAAACCGAACCCATTTGCACAATTCGGTTTTGCAAGTTTTACTTTTTCTAACAAACCAAAACTCCAGTCGTAGAAATCTTATTTCCATATTAATTTAAATATTCATTTTGACCACTGAACGATATATTGCCTCTCTGCAATTCCCTTTCATACTGACTGAATATTGACCGGCAGCCCAAAGAACTAACACACATCGGGGGGGAAAACTGAAATAATAATGATCAGATATGTAATAATATATAAATAATATACAAATATATATAATATATAATAATATATAGATATATAATATCTATAATAATATATAAATATATGATATATAATAATATATGAATATATATAATATATAATAAATAAATAAATATATTATATATGACAATATATGAATATGTAATATATAATATATAAATATATAATATATAATAATATATATAAATATATAAAAATATTATAGTATTATTATACATTATTATGTATTATTATATATTTATAGAATATATATTTAAAGAATACATAGAATTTATTTTTATAGAATTTACATTACTATAATTTATAGCACTATATTACTATTATGTGATATTATATATTATCTATAATAACATAATAATATATAATATATTGTTACAATCTAATATTATAATATTATACATAATAATATATAAAAATACTATAATAAATGTATACCGATATAAATTACATTAATATAAATTCTATAAAAATAAATTCTATAAAAATAAATTATATATACGAAATAATTATAAAAATATAATTACTAAATGTGAAAACTGAGGTATTATTATTACTGTTATTACAGGTTGTATTGCCCTAAGGACCCATCCCACCCAACCGTAACGTTCCCTTTTCCGTTCTTCCATTCCCAAGGATTCAGCTGCTCAAAATAAAGATGGTTGATTTATAAACGCCCCTTCGACCGCCAGGCAAACAGGCAGCAGCCGGGGAAAAATCCCTCGGAAAAGGAGGATCCGGGAAATTAAACCCACGTACCTTGCAGCCCTGTCGCCTTCCTTTTGCAGCTGTTGCGCTCCGCCGTAAATCCACGTTTTATTCCGTCCCGTTATCAGCTGGGTCCATCGTTTGCTAACGAAGTCCGCCAATGGCAGGCGTTTTTCCTCTTTTTTTTTTTTAAGGATTTACGACTTCGTTTTGCTGATTCGGCAGAGTCCTCCGGCACGAGAAACGGGCATTTCCCTGAATTCACGGTTCTGCTATCGCCGATTTATCGCACGGTTTCTGCGAGGCGTGCCGCGACAGCGAGTCGCTGGAACGAAAACGTCAGGGACTGCGAAAACGAGTAAAACCGCTATAAAATCGAGCGTATTTTCTCGCATCCCGATGAGATTCGCAGGAATTAAGAGCCGATTACGTCCTGAAAATCGGTGAGCCGAAGACAAGGGAGTTCTGGTAAATCCATAAAAGTAAGAAAATTCGCTTCTAATTCGGCAAAGGGTCCTGGGACCTCCCCGGATCAAACTCCACCCTCCAACAAAAATCAGCCGCTAGAAATGCCGTGCCCACCCCCAAAACCTGCCTCTTTCACACCAAAAATCCTTCAAGGGGAAAAAAACAAAATGCTTTTTACAAAGGACGTGACCAAAATCCATTTCTCTTGCAAAGAAGCGCTCAGAAACGCCACCAAAAAGCAGAGAAAAGGAAACTCTTCCTTCCCGTCCACCCCCGCGGCGCTCGGCCGGGCGGCAGGGCAAGTGCTTTCGAGGTGATTTTTCCATTTTTAGCTTAAAAGCCGAATCCCGACGCCGAGATCGGAGCCCGGGGACTCCTCCTCGTGCAAAGAGCGCGTTGCCCCGCACGTTCTCCTTCGCTTAATTATTGAATTCCTACCGGAGCCTGCTGACGCGGGGGGAAGACTTCAGGCGATCCCTCTTCTCCTGTATTTTAACTTCTATTTATTTGCCACGTGAGCAAACGGAAGGCCACCAGGCCTGGCAGAACCCCAACCGATCGGTCTGGTAGCCATCAGCCTGAAGAAGGTTTATCCCACGGCGAGCCTGGCCTCGAAACTCAGGAGTTTTCGTTATAAAACAATTCACAAAATTCTTATTTTGCTCGCTAGCTCCATCTTGAATTCCAATCGCGTGATTGCATCCCCACGGAAAAGCAACAAACATGGTTAAAATTCATTTTCAAAGTACCCGGAGGAGATGCAAGACATTGTAGACATGGCATCAACTCCATCCGCCGATGCCTGGACAGACCTTCACCCATCGAGGTATTTAAAAACGGGCCAAAATAGCGGGTTTTTGGGCCAGGCGCGCAGCACCGCGAAGAGGACCACGGTCTGAAACTTCCATCTTGGTGGTTTTTAACACTTCTTTGTTCGTTTGAGTTATAGCCATGAGAGCACAGCGCAACCAAAGGCGGGTTGGGTCGAAGGGGGAAGACATTTTGCGGCTCCACGTGTAAACGAGGGAACGCCGCGTCACGGAGCTGTAAAGAGAGCGGTCGCCGCCGGTGACCTCGCTGACAGAAGCGGAGAGGACGCCTCTCAAGGTCTCACCAGGACCTGAGACACGACACCGGAGCGTGATTCCCACGTGGAAAGAAAAAAAAAAAATCTTTTTTTATTGCTAGTGAAAGTATAAACAGAAACTGAGGTGGAGTCGGACGCCGTAGGAACGAGTTCCCTGATGGTTTGAACCGCCATCGTAAACGTAGAGCAGTTGCTTATGCACGCAAATGAATAACCGGTATTTTTTGAGGTAGACGTTTCCCAAAAGCCAAATTGCCAAAAACGTATTCTCTCCCCTTTCAGCGACGAAAAAAAATGAAAAATTTGCCTGGGGGGGGAAAAAAAAAAAGCGCATTTTCTCCGTGAGTGCTCACGCCTTGGACAAATCAAAATACGCTCGACAATGCGACGTGACCAAAATCTACGGTCCGATTTGGGGGGGGGGCGGTTCTACGGTCTCGTGGGGACAGAGACGCGGCGGGACGGAGATGTCCCTTTGATAATTACAAATGGTGGGATGGAGACGTCGTGGTGGGATGGAGACGGCGTGGTGGGATGGAGACGGCGTGGGACAGAGATGTCATGGTGGGATGGAGATGGTGCGGGATGGAGACGTCGTGGCGGGATGGAAACATCGTGGGACAAAGATGACATGGGACAGAACGGAGACGTCGTGGTGGGACAGAGATGTCATGGCAGGACGGAGACGTCGTGGTGGGATGAAGATGACGTGGGATGGAGATGTTGTGGCGGAATGGAGACGTCATGGCAGGACGGAGATGTGGTGGGACGGAGACGTCATGGTGGGATGGAGATGACATGGGACAGAGATGTCGTGGTGGGATGGAGATGTCGTGGCAGGACAGAGACGTCATGGAGGGATGGAGACATCATGGGACAGAGATGACATGGGACGGAACGGAGATGTCGTGGTGGGACAGAGATGTCATGGCGGGACGGAGAGGTCGTGGTGGGATGGAGATGACGTGGGATGGAGATGTTGTGGCAGGATGGAGACGTCGTGACGGGACGGAGACATCATGGTGCGATGGAGACGTCATGGTGGGATGGAGATGTCGTGGTGGGATGGAGACGTCATGGTGGGATGGAGACGTCGTGGTGGGATGGAGACGTCACGGTGGGATGGAGACGTCACGGTGGGATGGAGACGTTGTGGTGAGATGGAGACGTCGTGGTGGGATGGAGACGTCGTGGTGGGATGGAGACGTCACGGGACAGAGATGTTGTGGCAGGACGGAGATGTCATGGTGGGACGGAGATGACATGGGACAGAGACGCTGTGGCAGGACGGAGATGTCGTGGTGGGACAGAGGCGTCACGGTGGAGGGAGATGGTGAAACGCGAGTGGGACGGAGACGACGCAGGACGGAGATGACGCAGGATGGCTCCCACAACTGCGGGGCTGCGATGGAGGGACACAAGCTCCTCAGGAAGGAGCAGAAGAGTCGCCCTTTATGGAGCATGTGGAGCTTTTCCGTGGAGACGGATGAGGAGCCAACTGAGAGCTGGGTTGGGATGACAGCGAGGACGGGTGACAGTGACCTTGTGGTGACGTTGTGGCTGCTGCAGCCCAGGAGGAACAGGCAGCCGAGGCCCACTACAGACGGAGGGGAGCAGCATCGCGTTGACAGGCCCTGGTCCTCACAGGGGACTTCATCCCGACATCACGCAGCCAGAGCAGGGCAGCGAGGCTGCGGAAGGGACTGGAGAGCGAGGAGAAGG